TCTGGATGTTACAGGGACAGATGAGACACACGTCTGCTTATCCGGTGGAGACGAGAGCGGCTAATGAAGCCCTCTTCACCAGAAAGCGGAATGCTGCCATCAAAGGCTTTGAGAAAGTATACTACAGAAAATAATAAAACATCTTTTAAATCTTAAGTTGTAGTTTATTTTAATTACTGTAATTTTAAACAGTTATCACAGCACTTTTCTGATTCTTGATTTCTGTGCATTTGCTGTAGGGCTTTTGTGGTGGAGCAGGACCTGCAAGGCAATGTGACTTTTCATTTGTGAAAAAAAGGGAAAACCTGAAACAAAAATATAAAGTAAGATCATTCTGTTACTTCTAATACAGAAATCAAATGACATTGTGCTGTTAAAATGACTGCTTTTGTATTGTGTTTGTAAATTTTTGCAGGATCTGAAATGTCTGCAGACTGGTGTGAGCAGTGAGGATGGAGAAGTCCACAGCAGCATCCTGTAAATGGTCCAGTGCCATGGATGAGACACTCCCATCACTCCACCTGCCCTTACTCCCTCATCTTGGCAAGAGAGATGGGATAAAGGTAACAAAGGGCGACATTTGTATGATATAAATAAACAAGTAGGACATGTAAGAACTGCTTATGGTAATAGAAGGGATGATACAGTGATATCTCGATTGAGAATTGGACACTCTACTCTTAATAAGAGTAGAGTGTTGCTGTGGCCTCTTCATCCTCAGTGAGCCCAGAGTCAGCGAGAACATCTAGAGCAGGGGTGCCCAAACTCGGTCCTGGAGGGCCAGTGTCCTGCAGAGTTTAGCTTCAACCCTAATCAAACACACCGAAACCAGCTAATCAAGGTCTTACTAGGCATACTAGAAACTTCCAGGCAGGTGTGTTGAGGCAAGTTGGAGCAAAACTCTACAGGACATCGGCCCTCCAGGACAGAGTTTGGACACCCCTGATCTAGAGAAAGACCAAAAGATGCTGAGGATGTGAGTTTGGTCAAGTTTGACCTGCTGGTTTCGGTTCATACAACATCAGTCAATGGAGCCCGAGTTTCAGAAGCTTCAAAAGCATCATCAAATAAAGTCATGAAGCTTCTGGAAATCAGGCTCCATTGACTGATATTGTATGAACAGAAACCAGCATGACAAACTTAACTAAAATCAACTTTTGTGTTCAGAAAAAAAAAAAAAAAAAAGCAAGGATTGAATAGTGTGGAGGCGAGTAAATAATGACTGAATTTATATTTTTGGATGAACTAACCCTTTAAACCCCCCCAAATAGAAATATGAAAATATATGCTTGCATTTATATTATAGTAATGCCTTGAAGAAATAAACGTTAAGAAATAAGCAGCTTTATTGAGCGTTTGTGCCTAAGACACAAAGGATTTACAAAAATCACATTTACATTTATTCATTTGTCAGACACTTTTATCCGAAGTGACTTACAGTACTCTTATTACAGGGACCTCAATCCCCCTGGAGCAACCTGGAGTAAAGAGCCTTACTGAAGGACACACTACTGGTGACTACTGCAGAGATCGAACCAGCAATCTTCTGCTTACTAGTTCAGTGGTTTTGCCCACTACACCACAAAAGTAATGAAGCTATGACAAAAATTGTATTGTAAATTGCATGTAATTGTAAACATATGAAAGGAAATGCTGATGTTAAATGATTTGCAGATAGTCGTGCTCATGGAGAGCAGCACAAAAATGTTTGGAGCAGACACAGCGATAGCCAGATTGTCCCGCACATGTTCTCCTGCTCTTGTTCAAGATTGTGTGGTTCAGGGGCGTCGTCATGGTCTTCCTCATCCTCTCTCTGCAATCAGGCAAGGACAGCCTCGATGTCCCTTTCCCATCCATGATCAGATTCAGTCTGACTGCAGCAATGAGGGAGGTGATGGGCAGCAGAGACAGGTGAAGGTGGGACACGGTGGTCTGATGCTTCATCAGAATAAAGCTGCAGAAATGGCACAGCTGTGTTGAGATGCAGTAGGATGTGGATTCACTGCCTGTAAATACATGTTTGTTAGAACAATGTGTTTGAATATAGCTTTGTTTCATGTGTCGATGACTTGTATTTATTTGTTGTCATGATTACTTTTAAATAAATAAAAATAGAATAGTAAATAAAATAGAATTGTTTCATTAAATTGTGCATTAATTCATTACTTGACTGAAAATTGAGATGTATTCACCTTGGCTGCATTTGTCTAGTGCAGTGATCCTCAAATCTGGCTCGTGAGATCCACTTTCCTGCAGAGTTTAGCTCCAACCCTATAATCAAACAAACCTACCTGTGATTTTCTAATGATCCTGAAGACATTGATTAGCAAACTCAGGTGTGTTTGATCAGGGTAGAGCTAAACTCTGCAGGAAAGTGGATCTTGCGAGCCAGATTTGAGGATCACTGGTCTAGTGTGTAGTCATGCATCGCTATGGCATATGACAAAACAAATTACATTTTGCTTGTTTTACTATATATATATATTTAATGAATTATTGGATAAGTTTTGGGATGGGCTAGCAGTGCGTTCTGGGGTAATCTTAATTTTTAAGTAGTAATACTTACATTTTTCGAGTGTAAAATTAACAGTATTCTCCAAATGTAAGATCTTCTAGCAGCTGATCAATGTCTCCTTTGAGCAGATATTACAAATATTGCAAACGCTGAGGAAAACCGTACTAGGTAGGGTTGTGGAGTTACTGATGCTATGAGATTTCAGTGCACCAGTGCCTCATGTTCTTTTTTTTTATTATTACTGCAGAATTTATAATTACATACAAGCTCAGGGAAAGATGATTGTATCTTTAACAATGAACAATAATAATGACAAAAAGCAGAAAACATAAATATAATGGGTTTGCATACATCATAGTATGAGATATACACAGAAAAAAGGTTAAATATATTTTAATAATCATTATATTCATTTAATCAATGCATCAAAATATTGCATTTGTTGTTGTTGTTTATAAGCCGAAGGGATGAAACAAGAGAGTTAAATTCAACAAGAAAAAGAGGAAAACAAAGGAGATTTTTTTGCTTGTGGATGAAAAATTTTGCACATTTTTTATTTTATTTGATCTATTTAGTCATTTAGCAGACACTTTTATCCAAAGCGACTTACAAATGAGGACAATAAAAGCAGTCAAAACTAACAAAAGAACAACAATATATGTGCAAATGACAAGTCTCGGTTAGCCTAATGCAGTACACGTAGCAAGGTGTGTGTATATATATTGTAGCGTCTGGACCACTCAAACACACAATATATATATTGTTAGCCAGATTTAACAAATACTCTGTAACACTCCAGGAAGCCGAACAGGCCCCTGGTTCCATGGCAACCCTGACACCCAATACATTTACGACCTCCTGGAATTTACGTGAAGAAAATCGCTTCCTTGCCCATAAGGAAAATCCATAAGGGAAAGACTTTTCTTTGCTAATTAATTAATAGGAAAACCTTTCTTTGAATGAACACACATGATCCTTCAGGTCATTGGGTATATTATTGTCATCGTGTATTTTGTCTTTGAAATTGTATACTGTTATGCAGGCTTATAATCGAAACACACTCCTGTCAGCTTACGTATATATAATCCTACCATGTTTAGTATCTATGAATTCGTATTCGGATTATCTAATTGAGAGTGTATATTGTATGTTTACACCTACGCAACATATTAGTGTTCTACGAGTCTTTAGTAATTTTTATCCAAGTTTCATATGCAAATTACCATGCTTTCAAACACTGATTAATTATTCATATTTCCCATGAGCTGATTCGTTACAATATATATACAGTGGGGCAAAAAAGTATTTAGTCTTTTTAAGTGGGAGAACTTGCACAACTGGTGGCTGACTAAATACTTTTTTTCCCCACTGTATATATATTATACACACACATATATATATACACACACACAAAGAAAATAAGTAGATAGAATAGAAAGCTAGTGTTTGTTTTTTGTTTGTATTTTAAATAAAAATAAAAAAGAAGATAAATGTATATATAAAGTAGAATTAAAATAGAATAGAAAGTGTCAGAGTTAGAGGGTCAAATAAAGGTGGAACAGATGTGTTTTTAGTCGTTTCTTGAAGACTCAGCTGCTCGGATTGATTTGGGCAGGTCATTCCACCAGGAGGGAACAGTTAATGAAAAAGTCCGTGAAGGTGATTATGTTGCACATAAAATAAAGTAACAACATATTTGAGAGACAACGATTTTGGGTTTTCGTAATAAAAAAATTGTATATTTAAGGATTAAACTGGGGGTCATATTAGTAGGGTTAAAAATTTTAAAAAATTAAATCAACCCAAAATGTATTGGTTATACTACAATCACAATAGAAGGGCAACTTTTTCTTCAACCACAAAATGAGAATATTTTATAAACATCAAAATATTTACAGAGAGATTGTTGTTGCGCTTGTTATAACGTCTTAAATGGTCATGAAACCCCAGACTACTTTTTCCTGAGATTTTAGCAGAGGTGTTTGTGTTGCACATTATAGAAGACAATGTTAGCATCTGGTAATTTTAACTATTGAAGAAAACTGGTTAATTTTAAGCTTTTTCACCCTATTTTCAACTTCTGGGTTTAAAATCTACATCGTGTTGACGTCACAATTTGTGACGTGGTAATGGACTATAGGACATCGATGACGCGTCGGTGTCTATTAAATTATTCATGAGACTGCGTGTTCTATGAGAAGACGCTTCGCTTAATTATTCACAACAGCATGTGTTGATTTGCTATGACAGACACTTCAGACAGTGAGATGACATCAGGTACATTAACTGAGAGAAACATTCATGGATCGGAGGAGAGTGTTTGTTTTTGCTTTGTAATAAGTGTTCTGCACAAACGCGATTCCTTCACTTAGTGAGTGTAACTGTTTTTACAGCTCTGTGACACAAGTCGTCAAAATGCTTAATACAGCAGAACAAGCCTAATATGTCTTCAATGCAGAGTGCAAATGGCTGTTCATTTATTTGTGTTTTTAACTCGATGGGAGTGAAATGAAACTGTCTGAACCCGAAGCTGTGTGTCTTTTCTGTCTCCCCTCTTCCCCCTCCACTCCGCTGCGCACCACACCCACTTTTTTAACATTTTTTAAAACTGTAGTGAGAACTAACCAGTGCTGAAACAGGGGGTTTCATGATCCTTTAAAGGGTTAGTTCACCCAAAAATGAAAATTAGCCCATAAATTACTCACCCTCAAGTCATCCTAGGTGTATATGACTTTCTTCTTTCAGATGAATCCAGTCAATCCAGTTATATTAATTGTCTTTGATCGTTCAAGCTGTTTAATGCCACTCAGCGGGTGTTGCATGCATCAGTCCAAAAGAAGTGAAATAAAAAGCACCCATCCATAAAAAAAAGTCTCACACAGCTCCGGGGGGTGAACAAAGGCCTCCTGTAGGCTAGCGAATCGATGTGTTTTTGTAAGAAAAATATCCATATTCAAAACGTAATCACTTTAATGTACCTTGTGCCAACAGTTGTACATGGAAGCAGCTCTGGGCTGATGACGTATGAGTTCAGCGTTGTGCATGCGCTGTTGTGTCTCATGAAAACCATTCTTTGTTAACAGGAGCAAAGGAAGCAAAGTTTCCTTACTTTAGCAAAGGAAAACCAGTCTGCTCTTGGCTTATATCGAAATCCTCCAACATTCTTCTTTACAAATCCTTGTTTTGTACTTCTAATAAGTGACCACTTTTTGTTTTGATCTCTCCCCTTCGCTTCTGCGTTCGTCACTTCTGAGTGGCACATGCACAAAGCCAACATCATCTGCCCAAAGCTGCTTCCGTGTACAACTGTTGTCACAAGCTACATTAAAGTGATTATTAAGTTTTGAATATGGATATTTTTCTTACAAAAACGCATCGATTCGCTACTCTTTGGAGTGTTACAAGCTCTTGGTGCATAAAGAAGATCTGTAAAGTTGTAAAGACTAAAGTCTCAAATCCAAAGAGATATTCTTTATAGAAGTTAAGAGTCAACCATGCCTACCTAAAACGGTTCATTCTATGTCTACGTCACGATGTGGGAAGATTTGCATAACGCCACTAGTGTTGTTTTTGGCGGCCTGTTTTAATTTTAGTTTTAGTCTAGTCTTTGTGTGAAACTGACATTTCACCAATTATCCAAATAATGTTTAATCTTAGAACGCTATTATTATCAGGAAACATGAGCATAACGGTTAGCAGATCAGTGAATGAGAGGGCAGTGTTACCAGAGTTGCCCATTTACCACACCTTGTTACAACACAGTAGGGCTATTGCAGACAGAAACAATACTGTACTACATCGATGTTTCCTGTCAGCTCGATTTTTGAGTGGACTTTGCTGAACGGTATATGAATGGAGCACACACGCGCATAGAGTGGGATAACGCACAGACAGAGCGGGATAATACCACACAGTCTATGCACACACACAAGTGAATCCTGAGCGGTGAACTCATTTTCGGCAGCCGGAATTTCTGTGCATCTCTAATTACTGGCGGCATTAGAAATGGATATTATATAATAGCTGCTTTTTTGAACATTTTAGCAATTTAAAAGTATAAAAAAAGGATTTTTTACACTGCACCCCTGCTCTCGACAGACCCCGGTTGGGAAACACTGGTCTAAATAATTCCGCGAGGCGCGAGTGGGGCTTGAGGAAGTGACGTCGCCTGCGTCTGCGCCCCTGAAGTGAGACACAGGAAACAGAAATACTGCAAAATAATAATAATAACGAGACGAAATAACGTTATAACATTTCGTTTCGTCTCGTTTTGGTCAACGAAAATGAAGAGACATTTTAGCATAGTTTTTATTTTGTAAGCTACGTTTCGTCTCATTGTTATTCGTCAACGATATTGCATTGTACATTTAATTATCGTCATCGTCACATGACCAGCATTTTCGTCTCGTCTCGTTTTCGTCAGGTGATAAAGGTTCGTTGACGACTATATTTAGTCATAATTTTCGTTGACGAAAGCAACACTAGTCCTGGAAATACCCATTTCCAAACACCGGTTTAGAACCACCTTCTAAACCAAACTTAAC